AGATAAAGAAAATAAAAACTGAGAAGGATAAAACATTTATTTAGAAAGTTAATTGTTTAGCTATCAAGATAAATATTTTGCTTCAAACTATAATTTGCTTTATTGACAAGCAAATTAACCAGTTAAATATGAGCAAATATAAAACATAAGAGATAAAAAGAATACAATGAGTCAACTTATAATTTAAACAGAAAATAAATGCAAAAGCATGTACATGGAAATAGGAAATATTTAATTAGCAAGCAAACAATGTAGCTTCAAATGAATAATTACCAAAACATTGCATAAATATTGAATTAATTAACAATAAGGTGAAAATATGAGTTTGAAAAATGAAGCTCCATCTTTTCCCTGCAGATTATTGAACTAAAATTCATTTCTGACTGTAACTTTACAGACCACGCCCTCTGTGACGTCACGACCCGACCCGTCCGCACTGGTCCGTCTCGGAACCAAACTGAAAACCGACCCAGACGTTCAAACAGCTCCTCTTCCAGCCAGCTGAGTGAAGCTGGATCGGACCCGTTCAGAACCGGGATGAACCCACATGGCGACATGCTGCCCCCTGCTGCCCACGGCCCGAACTGCAGGGGAACTGCGTCTCAAACTGGTAAAAGACCAGCAGCGTGCTACTGGTCATTAACCAGCAGAATGCTGATTGTTCAATCCAGCCATTCACAGAAAGTTGAGTGGAAGGAAAACAACCCCAGCCTGGAGGAAGTCGTGTTAAGCCACTCCAGAACCAGAGAAAACATCAGAAACACCTTATGTGGGCTGATGAGAAAAGCTACTGTTACTGAGCAGAACCTGGAGATTCTGTTCTGCAGGTCTGGATTTCTGAATACAAATCGTTTGTACGGTGTGATGCACTGAGGTTTTGGATCAGAACCAACAAAATGATTCCTCTCTGAGGAACTGACTCCATATTCTTCTTTTTCAACAGAACTCCCGACACTGATGTTCTGATTCATTAAACTGGACCCGTTCAGACAAGAAGCTGCATCAGAACTGGCCCAGAGATTCTGAAGGGTCGGGTCCAGAGTTCTGGATCCAGAGCTTTGACCTTTCTGGGCTTCATGGAGATTCTTCTCTGCTCAGAAATAAAGTCTATTTATTTGGTTCTGATGAATTTTCTCCGGGTTCTGCCCGGTTAAAACGGGCTGGAGTCCCAACAGAACCAGAAGTTTGACAGAAAGGACCGACAGGATGAGGTTCTACTGAGTTTATTGAAACATGGAATATTTACAGAAGTTGTTCCGGGTCAAATGGATCTCAGTGGGCAGAATCAGTTCTGATCGATTCTTCAGCAAAACATTTAAAAAAAACTAAAACCAGAAAAAAAAGAACCAAAACAAAAAAATAAAAACAAGAACATAAAACCGGGCCAGAGCTCCAGCTGCTGCTACTCTGACGGGCCGCAGAGCGTGGTCAGGCGGTTCTGTCAGAAACCACAGAAGAAGAGAATGACTGGCATGTAGAGACAGGAAGTGATGCAGAGGAAGTGACGGACCCACCTTCAGCAGCCGGATGCTCCTTAGCGCCGACTCGTCCAGCTGCTTCAGGTCCAGGGAGTCCATCTCACTGGCCAGCAGCTGGATGCTCTGAGGTCAAAGGTCAGGTTACAGAGGATCAAAAGCATGACTGAAGAAACACTTCCTGATTATTCTTAAAACGTATCAAAGTCTAAAATATTCACATGCATTAATTAAAATGCTCCTCATTATACGATCACCTTTTGATAATTCTCTTACTGAACAATAATTTTCATAATTTAAGCAGAAAAGTTTGAGTTGGACTCAGCGGACGGTCAGAGCGCCCTCTAGTGGACCAATCAGTGTTCAAACAGTTTCTCTTTTCTCTGATTATTCTACATTCCTGCAAAATGCAGTTAAATTGTTTTTATCTTTATTTCATGTTATTTCATTTAAATTATTTAATATTTAAAATGACACATGAAGAAAAAGGGACAAAAATGTCCTCTGGAAGTATTTTTGTTAGCACATGCGCTAATTAGCCAATGGCGACGGGACACCCAAAACTCACCTCTCCGTTCGCGATGGGAACGTTGATGATGATGTCATTTCCTGCCTGGATGGGGGAGCCGTTGACCGACATGCTGAAGACCCGCTCCTTGTGGCGCGGGACTCTGACGGCGGGCGTCTTGGGCAGTCTGAGGAGGCAGAGCCATGAGGCCGGCACCACGACGCCACGGCCAACAGGCCGGCCCAGGTGAGTCTTACCTGGAGTCGAAGCGCGGCGTGATGAGGGGGCTGGGGCCCATCATCAGGGAGGAGTCCAGCAGGTTCCTGGCGGGGGTCACCAGAGGCTTCCTGTTGGAGCTGAACACACAGGAAGCTCAGAGGGGCGGGGCTTATGTGGGCGTGGTCTACACAGGGGGGCGGAGTCAACATGCTCACCGTCTGATGGTGCTGCCCTCCTTGCTCACACCCAGAACCTTTGACCTCTTTGTTGAAGACGCGGGCTTTCTGGCTGTCCGGGTCTGAATCAGAACCATGAAGCAAACAGAACCGAGACGTCGTCTCATTACAACCTGAACTGAATTTATTTCCAAGCTCTGGCAGTTTAACGCTTCCCTATGGTCAATGTGGCGAGGAACAAAACGCCACGTTTACATCGACACACAGCGATCACGACGAACGACATTTCTAATAAAATCAGCGACATGACGAACCTTCCTGGTGGAGTTCAGGACGTTTTCGCCGCAGTCGGACTTGGCTCCGCCTTTCTTCCTGTTGGCTGCGGGAGGAACCAGAACAGCATCAGCAGCAGGCCTTTAGCGGTCCAACAGAACCAGACACTTTCACTGACTTTTCTTGACGGATTTGAGGAGGACGGCGTGGTCCTCCGCCACCACGCTCTCCAAGATGGCGGCCTCCTCTTGCCTCTGCTCAGAGGAAACGTGGGGTTAGCACAGCCGGACCTTCAGGTGAGGAGGAGAGACGAAGCATGCTCACCTTTACATGGTCTGCCTCTGCAGCGTTGGATTTGTCTGGATCTGCAGAGAGAAACGGAGCGATCAGAGCTAGACGGAGGAGGGCGGAGCTTCCTGACTGACGGGACTCACCGCCACAGAGCTGCAGCCAACCCGTCTGCCTCAAGGTTCTGGGCAGCTTGATGAGAGCCATGTTGCAGCTGTTATCCACGTCCTTCAGCAGCTGGTTGATCTTCTCCCTCATCTGGCCCACTCTGGTCTTCACTGCAGACACAGACAGCGTGGCGTTAGACAATGGATGGATGGGTTTGTTCTGCTGAGCATTCTTTAGCCAATCGATGTGAACATAATCACCTGAAATGAATCAACGTATGAAAAAACTAAAACTACTTCTAGAACTGAACTGAACTCAATTCAACTGACAAACCAAAAAACTAATTCAAAAATAACTGAATTGGACAAAAAGTCACAACAAAATAAAACTAAAGTATCATAAAACTATGCTGCTTGAGAGGTTTGACCGCCACCAGCGGCTCTGACCCGTTTGGATCCACCGGTCCAAACGGGTCATGGACGGATTTCACTGAGGCTTGGCTGTTTCTCACCTTGAAGCTGATAAATCCTGTTTCATTTTCATTTATTTCACCTCCCCTTTAACAGCCACATGTTAGGTTAGAAAGTTCACTAACAGTCATCGTGGTCTCATATTTAGTTTCTTAGCACTTTTTATGTCAATAAACCCAAACAAAGGCTGAAACATTAAAACAGGAACATGTCTCCAGATTTTACATGTCAGATAAAACTGGATGAGAAGAAGAATCAGCAGAAGACGCTTTAGGCCTCGATAAGAAGAGGATTGGACTTTATAGTTTATCCTTCTCTATAAAACAGAATGGAAACATCTGCATCCAGGAGCAAGGATCCGGTCCGGGTCTGAATCAGAATCCGGACCGGATCTCCATGGTTCTCTAACAGAACCATGGAGGCCAGGCTGAGCCTGCAGGGGGGAAATGATGGACAGCAGGAGACTGGAGCAGGTCATATATTACTCTTCAGGTTCAGATTCTCTTTATTTAAAATAACACAAGTTAGCTGTATTAATTATAAAGCGGCTTCCTGTTCTGCAGGTCACAGAAAAGCCCAGAAATCAGGAACTAAAGGAATCAAGTGGGAACGATTCAGCCCAAAGGAATCGGATCAGATACGGCCCTAAAACGGATCCACGGTTCGTTCTTTAATGGGCATAGAAACACTATTACATTATATCCGTTTGAAAATGAGTCATTTCCTCCAGCTAGAGTCACCTTCACTGTCGAAGTCATCCAGAAAAGCCTCCAGCTTCGCCGTTTTCGGGCTGTTTTTCCGCTGCTTCGTGGTTCTTTTTCTGGGAGCCATGTCTGCAGGAGAGCCAGACATTAACAACAGAGCTCGTTGTAACACGCAGGACAGACGTGAAGTGCATCGATATGGAGGTTTAACGGCAGTTTCTCTCCGTTGGTTAGCATGTTAGCATGAAACAGATTTCCGTGGCTGATTATCGGTCAACAGCTGAGCTCACAAAACTCACATCATCACAAAACAGCTGAGAAAAACTAACGACCAACCACACAACATTTTATTGAAGAGTATAATACCTGAAAATCAACGTTTCTCCTTCTCGAGGGCCGCTCTCCCTCTTTTTCCCTGCAGTTTTCAAATCTCTGTGGTGGGGATGGCCTAAACATCCTCTCGGCCAATCAAAGCGCACGTTTGTACGTCACGATCAGAAAACGTTCATCTCGATTGGTTTGTCTTCATGCTGCATTTAATTGTACACATGAACTCGGAATTTCGTCCATGTCGTGTTCAGTTGCCCATATTTTGGTGATAATAATTTGTTTTTAAGATCTTAAACCATTTTAAAGAAATGGTTTTAAATCTTGTACACTTTTAAAGATAACTGTTAAAATGTAACAGAAATAAGTTTGACAGTAAAACAGCTTGGAAGTAGTGAAGGATATTATTTATGAAATATTAAATAAAACGCCAAGGATATTGGAAATGTAAAGGACGCGCAGTTCCTCTGCAGAAAATGGCTCTTTGGGTCGAATCGCAACCTACAGGTTTTCTGTTTGGGATTTCAAGATGTTCCACAAATTGAATATTTCACAGAAAATAAAATTCAAGTTGTTGATTTTCCACGTTTAAGGTACATTGAAGGCACCACAGATTCTTGTTTACATCAGCAGACCGGAAACGGTCCGAAGCGTCATGGCGAGCGCGTGTCGCAGCTTAGTGGCTTGAAGAGGAAAGTATTTGGGTCTTTAAGTCTTAGCTGGACCCCGCATTGAGTTCTGGTAAGTGAGTCATTTGACCTTTAACCTTTGTGGTGTCCTCTAGTGGACTCGTGTCTGTCATGAAGCTCCTGGCCAGATGTCCCTGCAGGCGGCGGTCAGGAGGAGCTTCACGGCTCTGCAGGACCAGCGGGCCGCGTGGAGGAGCGAGCTGGAGGAGTGCCTCCCCCTCATGGAGGCTCTGGGGAACCTGGGGGAGCAGATGGAGGCTTTGTCCCGGGTCCGGCTCCCCGACACGCCGCTCCGGGCCTTCCCGGACCTCCAGGAGCGGCTGCAGCTGCAGCTGCTGCAGGCTGTGGACCTGCTGCTGCAGAGACTCGGGGACAGGATGTGAGTGGAGCATCAGGACTGACTGAGACATGTCCCCAGAATATGTATATTATAATGATTTAAATGCTTACTGACACCCAGTCCCGTGTTGGAGACAACAATGATGACAAGAACAAGTCCAGCTGAGAAGAATCATTCAGCAATCAGCAGACATTGATGATCATACACAAATAAATAACCTGGGCAATAAATTAGAAATAGAAATCCTAAAACAGCGGTGTTCAGAATGTGGCCTGGGGGCCATTTGAGGCCCTTAAAGGGGTTTTGTGTGGCCCTTGACTGCAGCACAAAGAAACAGTTACAAAGACACTGAAACTGCTCCAAAAACTATTGTAGAAACAACACAATGTCTCTATCAAACTTGCTTTGTTATTTTTGCTTTAATTTCATCATAATAAACACCATCAGTAAACTCTGCTATGCAAATGAGAGTTTCTGGAAAAACAAGCGACTCAAAACCTGTTCCTGAGAATAAACCCAAAAACAAACGATGACCAGAAAAACATCAGCGTTCAGGATAATGTTAGCATGTTTCAGATCAACAGCTCCCTTTTCTACAGAAATCCAACTTTTATTAAATATTGTGTTGTTTATTTTTGTCCAGGTAAAAGTGAAACATCTCTTTTTTAATCTCTTATTGTAAAAATTAATTTTGTGGCCCTAAATTACTTTCAGATGGATAGTTTTGGTCCAGATGTCCCTCAGACTGGACCGACTGGATCTGGTTCTGGACCTCATCAGTTTTAGATGAATGTTAGCTTCCTAGCTGTGAACTCTGACCTCTTGAGTTTCTAAACTGCTAAATACAAACTCTGACCAGGTCATTTCTGTCTAGTTTCTCAGTACATTGGAAATAAGACAAAAATACAAGAGTTTGTTTTAATTCCTTCATATTGATGAAAAAGTTCTGGTTCAACTGGCAGATTGTCTCAGTTACAACAAAACATTTTTCCCATGTTGAAAGTGAAATAATCTGGAATTGTAACCAGAACCAGCCCAGTTACTTATTAATTAGTTTTGTTTTATTTTAAGGGCTCTGAGATATTTGCTCTTTAAACTAAATTACCTGCTAATATTCTGTAATCTAAAGAGACTCCAGCTGACGGTTCGTTCTGATTGGTTGTCTCCTCCAGGTCTCGCCTCCAGTCCATCAAGGACTCCGTCGGCGGCCATGTTTCTGCCGCCCTACAGCTCTATCAGGACGCCGCAGACACTTTGGATGTTGCGGCGGCGACGCAGCGCTCCTCCGCCGCTCCGTCGCTCGCTGACATGCTGGAATGGCTTCAGGACGCCGAGCGTTTCTACAGACGGCAGTATCCTTCCTGCTCTCCGTGAGGCGTTTGAGTGCCGTAGGATTTGTGAGTTGTCCTGAACGCTTGGCCAGGTTCCTGCAGAGGAAGAGTCTGCTGCTGACGCTGAGGCGGGACGACCGCGCGCGGCTGGAGGGCGCGGCCACGGCCTGGAGGAGTCTGGACTCTCCTGATGCAGAGCAGCAAGTCACAGGTGAGGTCATCACTCACCTGTCATGAACCTACGGCAGGCCGTTATAACATAATATCTGCTCCACTGATATGTGCAATGCATTAATGACTAGAGATATAAGTTAATTAATTTATCATGTCATAATGTTATTACCTGGTTTCTGATTCTGAGATGTGAGAAATCCTTTAATCTCCATGGCATCCATTCAGCTGTCCATGGAGCAAGGCTAGCATGGAAACTTCAATTCAAGATATAAACAGTTCAGTTGTGACATGAAGTACATTTAACATATTTAACTTTTTGTTCTGACTAGAAAATACTCAGAATAAATACCAAAAATAAGACAAAAAACCCAACAACTTATCTGTGAATCTGTTCTACCAGAACTCCTCTAGTATCTGGTTCATATTCTGCAGAAAATCTCCCATTAATCACATTTTACACCCAATTATCAATCAATAATTAATCATCACTATTAGTAGTAAGAAAGATTGGTTTATTTAGCTGCAGATGATCAAACATTCACTACCAGAATGCTTCTTTATATTTCAGGCAATAAAATTTTTATTTTCTAATCCAAAATATAAATTAGGAAAAAGTTTTTAAGTTTTATCTGTTTCTAATATCATTTAAATAAGCTTAACTGGTTAAATGAAAAATCTGAAAATTGATCAATTATCAGAATAATCAATTATTGAAATGAATGTTAGTTTCAGCCCTAAATTGTTGCTGTTTAATTATCGGTCAGGTTGGTGGTGATGTAGAGTCCAAACTGGACACCTGGAGTGTAATTACAGGCAGACAGACGAAACCCATTATATGCTAAAACAGTCTGCCGTATGAAACTGGACCGGGACTCTGTCTCCTTCCAGATCATCTGTGCAGAGTGGCTTTCTTCCTGGAGTCCCAGTGATCCGACCCCGGAGCCGCTACCGGATCGGAACCGTCTGAACCGATCGGACCCAGAAAGAGACACGGTTCGGGTTTAAGCTGGTTTTATTGGACCACAGCAAACGCTGCACATCAGGGCAAAGAGCCGAACACGAAGCAGAGACACGGATCAGAACCAGGAAACTGCAAAAACACAAAATATCACCAAGAAACAGACGCATCAAAAATTAGAATCATTTTCACTCTGATGGTTTTGTTTACAGAGATTTTATAATTCATTTGTTTATTTATTGTTTTTGGTTGTTTTGTTTTTATTTTGAATATTTAACATAAGTCCTACTTCAAGTCTTTAATATTCTTTTAATAAAATTAAAGTTTGTTAATGTTAATTGATCAATTATTTAATTTAGAAAAACAAATCGAACTGAATGATAAATTATCCCAGAAGTTATTGCGATAAACAATAATATTGTTATAAAAATACGGCATTATAATGAAAGAACAATCTGAGCGATAAATAAACTTTAAATTCCAACAAACATTCAACACTGGATCTGGAAGACGCTTTAAATTTTCACAAAAAAATCAAATCAATTATTAAAAAAACACCAAACTGAAGAATTTTATCATCCAGTTTCAGGTAGAAAGAGAAAAAGCAAACAGATAAAAATCATTTTAATTTATCAAACGATTTATCGTTTGTCGCAACATTTTCTGGGATAATTTATTGTATAATTTGTTGTTGTGACAAACGGAGCTGGAAGCTGGTTCAGTTTTAATCCAAGAACCAAAAAACAGCGTGAGGAAGATGTCCTCCTCTTCCTCCTCTTCCTCTTCCTCCTCTTCTTCCTCTTCTTCCTCCTCCTCCTCTTCCTCCTCTTCTTCCTCTTCTTCCTCCTCCTCTTCTTCCTCCTCCTCTTCCTCCTCCTGCTACACGTACTCCTTCATCGGAAGGCTGTTGGAGGCGATGGGCTTCGGCGGTTCCGGCGCCGGCGAGTTGGCGAAGCTCCTGCCGATGTATCCTCGGCGGTAGCGGCCGCCGCGCTCCATCAGCGGACAGGTGCTGCTCAGGACGGCGCCGCTGATCATCAGGATGACGGCGGCGGCCCAGCCCAGGTAGATGGCCTGGCCCAGCTCCCGCTTGTGCATGATGGGAACGTTGGGGTTGTAGAAGTCCTGCACCACGGTGTTGGCGGTCCAGGAGACGGGGATGAGGACGCACAGCCCCGTCAGGATGAAGAGGACGCCGCCGGCCAGCGCGATGCCGGCCTTAGCGCGGCGGTCGTCGCCGGCGCAGGTGGTGCACTTCATGCCGCAGCAGGACACGGTGCAGGACAGCCAGCCCATGAAGATGGCGAGGCACATGAGGGCGCGCGCCGCCTGGATGTCGGGCGGCAGCGCCAGCATGGAGTCGTAGGTCTTGCACTGCATGTGTCCGGTGGTCTGGTACACGCAGTTCATCCAGATTCCCTCCCACTTCATCTCCGACGTCAGGATGTTGTTCCCGATGAACGCCGACACCTTCCACTGCGGCAGCGCCGTCACGGCGATGGCCATGATCCAACCCGTCACCGCGCAGGTGAAACTGATCAGCTGCATCCCCGTGTTCACCATGGCAACGGGCTCGTCCGGAACGTCTGCTGGGAACTGTGGTCGGACTGGTTCTCCCGGCTGCTCTACGGTCCGCAGGCGGCCATGTTCAGGTCCTCCTCCGGACCCGTCCGGACATCCCGGCCCGGTCAGAACCCCGATCCCGCCGTCTGTCGCTCGGGTGACGGAAGCCGACCCGACCCGCCGCTGTCGCTCCGACAGTAAAACCGGGCCGCGGTCCGGCCTCGATCCGGATCGGAACCGCCGGGGTCCGGGTCAGTCCTTGAAGTTCCGGATCCTGAACGGAGCCGACCGCAGCTGGAGGGTCTGCCGCCGCTTCCCCGAGCCCAGAGGGTCAGACGGACGGATTGGGTCTGGAAACACGGACCCGGCGCTGCTCATAAACATTCGCTCCATGAATTAAAGATGGAGGCTCCAGGTTCTGCTGCTCGGGTTTCCTTTCTCCGGTTGCCAACCGGCTCCTCGGTAACCGTGGCCATGCCAACCAGAGACGGTAAACGGACAGGAGGAAGGAAGGAGGTTCTGGTTCTGGTTCTGGTTCTGGTTCTGGTTCTGGTTCTGGTTCTGAGAGTGAGTCACACAGAGACTCACTCTCAGAACCAGACATCTGTGTGTGTGTGTATGTGTGTGTGTGTGTATGTGTGTGTATGTGTGTGTGTGTGTGTGTGTGTGTGTGTGGTGTGTGTGTGTGTGTGCCCTTCTGCCAGAGGTCATCTGGATATATTTCTGGGATTGTTTTGTTTTTTTCTGGATTATTAAAGTTTTCAGTTTGTGTTTTTTAGGATAAATTAGTTTCCATAAACTTCATAATTCATTTTCTTTGTCGTTTATTTATTTTTCAGTTCCAGTCTGAAATGTTCATGAGAATTTAAAGTTTCTGTTCTTCCATATTTATATTATTGGAAAATGGTCTCAAAACAACAATATTGTCCTTTATCTCAATAATTTATGGGAAAAATTAGTTACTACAAAAAGCTTATGAACCAACTAATGTTTCTAAATATAGATTTAATAACACATGCAGTTTTCACTCTTTTTTCCCTGATATATTTTCTTTGAATTTCAAAATAAACTGCAAATACTAGAAATTCATTCTGACCTGTTAGTTGGAAGTTATATGAATTATTGGATTTATTAATCATTCATTTTCTGGTATTTTCTAGAACCCTGGATGTTTCTGCTGAACAGTAATATCTGTTTGAAAGACAGAAATCCACAACTTTTGTCATTTATTTGAGTTTGTCTCAGTTAAAACTTTGCTTTAAATTTTCTCTGCATTTAAATGGCATCAATTTAACGCGACATGCAGACATTAAAGTGGCGATAACAGGAATATGAGCATCCATGTAGTTATGGAACAATAATCTGGTCAACACTGAAGCAACATGAACAAAGTAGTTATTGAAATTCATTGAACCTCATTTTTCTGCGGTTTTAAAGTGTTTATAAGAACAATATGGACATTTATTTGTCTTCAGAATATTTCAGGTAAAACGTTCAGTTGCTGCTATTTCCGACACCAACCGTCAGGGGGAGCTGTTGACCCTAAAAGGACATTTAGTTTCGTTTTAGTATTTATTTACATCCTTTGTTAAAACCTGTAAATCATCTGTTATTGACCAGATCGGAGCTTTGTTATGTTTTGAAACAATTAAAATATAATAAATGATTTTATATCTAAACCTTTTTGAAGGCGTTCCCACGAAAGTTTTTTTTACTACTTCCGCTTTTCCAGTCGGATCTATTTGCATGACGAGCAGCAGAAAGAGGAAAAGTAGCAGCGGGAGCGGAATGATCGATAAACTCCCAACTATTCAACACACGAAGAAGAAGGAGCCGGAAGTCGGGACGTTTTCAGCGCCTGTCCGCGGATTCCTGTGAGGAAGGACAGCTTCCGGTGCAGCTCGTTGACCTCAGGTGAGTTTAGTCTGCAGGTGAGCCGCTGGCCCAACAAAACCGGTACCATGTGAACAGAACCGGAACCAGTTACCAGCCATAAATCGGTGGTACCGCAGAGTTGGACAGGAGAGCTGATTCACTGCCGGTCCAGAAATATAGTAGTAATTGATGTTCCGGTTCTCGATTCATTTAAACGGGAGTAATTAGTAAAGTAGAGGATTTACAGGCCCGGCGGCATTGGGGGGCCGTGGGGGCCATCGGCCCCCTGGTCTGGAAGCTGTTTGTTGTTTTTACCTTAGAAAGACCAACTTCCTGTTTTTCCTATATCAATATGATACAGTAGCAGCTTCCGCAGTTCCCACATATGTTCCCTCTGTCTCTGTTTTCAGCAGTTAAAGCTGTTTAATCCATCGTTAACACGTTGTAACCTGTTTTTCCGAGCCGCTTTTAAACGCAGCGCTGAGTTTACGCCTGCTGCTGCTGCACAGGTGAGTCAGAATCATTCAGCAAAACGTAAAAAACTTTGTTCAGTTTTTTCCCCAAACTAACAGTTGCGTAAAGCTGCAGGTCATGTTCGCTAACAGATGAATGATAATGATACAGAAGACACCAGAACCTGCAGCTCGGCAGTTTGTTTACATTCTAATTGATCACAAACATTAACATAGAAATCCATAATGAACGTTAAATACAATGGACCTGGAGACTAACTTATTTTATGGTGTTAAAATAAATAAAATGGAAAATCAGGTTAGAAACGCATAAAGGAAATAATTAACAGCTTTAATAAAATGAAACACAGAGAGATGAAAAAAACTCCATGAAGAAATAAAACAATTTACAGAAAGTCAGGAGAAGAGCAGAACATAAGCTATCATCATGGACAATGTGAGGTTATCGATTATTTAGATCCGATTACTGCGTCAGAAATATGAGGAAGAAACAATAAACTGATCATCGACCAGATCTGCATTAAACTGAAACTACATTCAGTTTAGTTAAAACTCAGGATTAAATGTCTTTGGTACAATTTAGTATTTATAAGACATTGTGAGTTTTTAACTCCTCCAAGTTAAAAACGGAATATTAGAACATTTTTATTTTATTTTAACCCAAAGATTATAAATGACAAGATAAACTGAGCTCATAGAAAAGGTCAACCTATAGATATTTATCTTGGTTTAAAGGGCCGGCGTCACGTCAGAGTGGCTTTGCTTTCATCAGAAACAAACCTGCATGTTGCTTTGATTCTTTCATGTATGTTTGAGACATCCTTTAATCTCCATGGCAACCATTCAGCTGCATAACGTCTGGGTGGACCTAGCCCCGCCTTCGAGGCTTAGTTCCTCCCCCACTCAGCTCCTTTAGACTAGCCAGCAGGAATTAGCAAACAGCTGGTGAGCTCGTTATGGGAGCCGCTTCCCAGAGCAGCCGGGACGGGTCCAATCTGGACCAGCTGTCCCCAGCTGCTCCCCCTGCTGGCCTGACTCTGAATGTGTCTCGGTTCCTGCTGCAGCCTTGCTCAGGGGAACCTCGGCAGGATGCTGGAGCAGCAGGCCGACCGGGTCATGGAGCTGTCGGAGTGGAGCCAGCGCTGGGAGGAGAACAAGATCGGCTTCCATCAGCCGGGGGTCCACAGGTAACGGTGGCGACTGCGGATCCGGAGAGCCAGCCGGGTCAGAACTGGACCGAGGTAGAACCAATCAGAACCTGAACGTGTCCCGTGTCCAACAGCATGCTGCAGACGAACTACGAGGCGGTGGTGAACGGACGGAGCGCCGTCCGCTGGTTCTTCCCTCTGTGTGGGAAAGCTGTGGACATGAAGTGGTAGGAACCTGATCCGGTCTGATCCGGCTCGATCCGGTTCATGTTCATCATGGCTGTGTCTGACCCGGTTCGATCCGGTTCATGTTCATCATGGCTGTGTCTGACCCGGTTCGATCCGGTTCATGTTCATCATGGCTGTGTCTGACCCGGCTCAGGTTGGCGGATCTGGGCCACTCGGTGGTCGGCGTGGAGATTTCAGAGACGGCCATCAGACAGTTCTTCCAGGAGAACAACATGACGTTCAGCGAGCAGGACGTCCCGGCCGTCCCCGGAGCCAAAGTCTTCCAGGTGGGAACCGGACCCGTCTGACTGCTTTCCTCCCAGTACGGTTCTCTGACTGGCTTCCAGTTTATCTCCAGAGATGATCTGGACTGATCTGGAACTCAACAGGTTTAACTTCCAGTGCTGGTGGTTCTGCAGGTTCAGGTCATTGGGTGCAGAAAGTTCTGCAGCTGCAACCACCTGTAGATGGTCCACAGCACCAGCTGGTTCTCCTTCCTGTTGGTTCTCCTTCCTGTTGGTTCTCCTTCCTGTTGGTTTTCCTTCCTGTTGGTTCTCCTTCCTGTTGGTTCTCCTTCCTGTTGGTTCTCCTTCCTGTTGGTTCTCCTCCTGGTTCTGTTCGAGTCGGCCTGCTGTCAGTAACAGCGGATCTCCGTCTTTGTTCTGTCCAGAACCCGGAGCGCAGTGTGTCCCTGTACCAGTGCGACCTGTTCAGCTTCTCCAGGTGAGTTGTCCTGCTGGACGTTCAGGGAGACGTCGGCCGTCTCTGAGCGGTTCTGTCTGTGCCGCAGCGCCGTGGCGGGTCGGTTCGGGGCGATCTGGGACAGAGGCTCTCTGGTGGCCATCAACCCCCGGGACAGGAACCGGTGAGTCCAAACGTCCCGGCGTCCCTCGGCGCGTCTCCCGGTCCTGACGTGTCCTCCGTCCTGCAGGTACGCGGCTCTGATCGTCTCTCTGATGGCTCCGGACTGCAGATACCTGCTGGACACGCTGCTCTACAATCCAGAGCTCTATAGAGGTGGGTTACCATGAAAACCGTGAGACGTAGCGCCGCGCTCACCGTGTCTGTCCTGCAGGTCCTCCGTTCTTCGTCCCCGATGAACAAGTCCAGAGTTTGTTTGGTGAGTCTGAGCTCCAGCCTGGAGCAGGAAGTAGCCTGATCCCAGCAGCAGCGGGTCCAGGGTATTTACTGGGGCGGCTTGTCGTTGTGCTGCAGGCGGCAGGTGTGACGTGGAGATGCTGCAGTCTGTGGACGCGCTGACAGACCGACAGAGGGCCTGGGGTCTGGACGCGCTGACGGAAAACGTCCACCTCCTCACCCTGAAGGCCGACCCGATCCGCTGACCTGGTCCGCTGATCCGGCTGACCCGGTCTGCTGACCCGGTCCGGTTCTCCTGTCAGCCACACAATAAAGCTGCTTTTTAAACAGAGTTCTAACGTTTGTTCTGTAGCTTCTTCAAATCAGACTAAACTCCCACCAGGTTTGTGTCACTTTAAAGAAATGAATGAAAGGTTTCCAGAGGTCATCAGAGGTCAACCAGCCTCTCTTCACATTTACAAAATCAAACACATCAGGAAGTCATCAATGTTTGTGCAGCAACAAAATGTATTTGTGCTGTGTTTGTTCTGAAGGTATTGATGATGATGATCTTCTGTTTTTTCTTAATATCTTTAAAATGGAAACAAACAAACAACATGTTTTATTCTGAAGAAGCTTGGAGGGAAACCGTCTCGGGTCGGGTTGGACCGGTTCCACCCAGATCCGGTCTGAAGGTGGCGCTGTTCGCTCTCTGAGTAAAGACCATGAGCATAAGCCCCGCCCCCAGGCCTGCTCTGCTTCACCTGCTGCAGCAGCAGGAGCTCTGAGTCCTAATTGGCTGAAGGATCTGGGACAGCAGAGGAGCTAATCTCCAGGAGGAGGAGGAGGAGTGAGGAAGGGCGGGCTGGGGAGAAACGATTCAATGCTCAGGATCTACTGGAGATCCAGAGTGATCACAGAGCTCAGAGATCCTGCTGAAACATCGACTGATGGAGGGAGCAGGAGGAGGAGGAGCTGCATGGAGCCAAACGGGTCAAAATGTCTAAAAAACAAACTAATTCCAAAATATTTTTTAGCTATGTTGCATTATTTTACTATAGTGGGACCAACAATAATTTATAACTAAGTTTCAAAGACTTGAAATGTGCGTACGGACATGGAGCCGAACGTCTCTTAATGTCTGGGGAACAAAATGTTTGAATTTGCAGACAAAACAAAAATACTCTGAAATTTCAGATTATTGATTTTTCTTCCCAGTTTCTAAATAGCTTTCAGTCATTTTATTAAATTATGTGACCAGGTGGAGCAACAATGATTGTTTTACTGTTTTTTATGTGATCTTATGAAACTATATTGGGATCAAAACGTTGTAACTTGAAAAAAATGTAAATAAAAGATTTCACTTTTTTCTTCGGTTTAAAAAGTATTTTTGAGTTTTAAAGGTTTTTGAAATCTGTTTCTTGTCTTGGTTACACACTTTCTGACCGCAGTGTAGCTCCATAGGCCGACCTGGGAGGAATTCAGGCCCTGAATGCTGCAGCAGGACAGAAGCTCAGCAGATAATCCAGACTCTGCTGGACTTCCACAGATTTATCCTTCTGGTTCTGGTTCTGGTTCCGAGTCCAAGCTGTTGAGTCTGGGTCACACAGATGGTCTCAGGTCTCACCTGCCTTCCCTTTGCGCATGCTCAGTGGCGGTGAGCTCAGCAGTCCCCGCCCGGGCGGTGCGCGGCCGGATGCGCCGGTGATGGAATGACGCGCAGCCAAAACGTCTCCAGTTTTATCTGATCCATAATCAATAATCATGCTGATCATCAGCCGCTTGATGATCAGCTCGTACTAGGTCTGAGTCTCGCGGTAACTCGCTCTCAGAGGCGCGCGCGCGCGGGGTCGGCGGCGCGCGCGCGCCTCCGTGCTCGTCCCAGCCGGCGCGCGCTCCCGCAGAGGATCGGATCGACGTGTCTCGGGCTCCGGTCTCACGCGCTCCTGCACTTTGAATTCGGTCCGATTTCCGGAGTTGAGGAAGAGGAAGAGAGGAAGGAGGAGGAAGGACCGGCAGGACCGGGAGAACCGGGAGAACCGGGAGAACCGGGAGCAGCTGGATCACGACCGGAGCTGGAAGAATGAGGAGCGGCTGGATTCTCCTGAGCCTGGCGCTGAGCTGCCTCTGCGGGGCCGCGGTGAGTGGGGCAGGGGGACCGGGGTCCGCGGGGGTCCGTGGGGGACCGGGGGGGTCCGCGGGAGTCCGTGGGGGACCGGGGGGGTCCGCGGGGGTCCGTGGAAGACCGCGGGGGTCCGCGGGGGTCCGTGGGAGTCCTGGTGTGTTCAGGTGCAGCTGCGGGGCTCAGACACACCAGTTATGATTTCGATCTGGTTCTGTAAAGACTTCATGACTTGAGGCGTGTGTGTGTGGGGGGGGGGGGGTGCGCGCGCGCGTGTGTTTTCATCATCAGAATAATCAATTATTCTATTAGCTATAAAATTAAAATAAACGTAAGAATTCTGCTTAAAATAAGAAAATTATTAAAACATTTTCATTTTACGATTTAATTTGTGAAACTGTCATCTGAAAAGGAAGCAGCCCTCATCAACCACCAGATTTACTTTATTTTAGAAGTGTGGCCTTCACTCAGAGGGCCACAATCGGCCCCCGCCCCGCACTTTGGACACCAACAGGTCCGATCCTGAACTTGGAACCGGTTTGGAAAAGTGAACAAAATTCCTGCAACAGAAGCGAAAACTGTGAGGTTGTGAAATTAATAAATGTGACCTTTGACCTCAGCTGCCATGAACGACTGACCTGATTAGCCAATCACAGAGCAGATCGTTCAGAGTCGGAGAAGCCAAACCTTTCCAGCCCAGATGGTTTGGATCAGAGCGGCGACTCGGCACCGCGACGCCGTCTGGTTCTCATCATGGTTACCATGACAAGCATGTGAGCTGTTAGCATGTCGCGTTTTCACGCCTGACCCAGATGAGTCAAAACCGCCGAACCGGCTCCAGCAGTCCGACGTCTTCAGACCTGGAAACACCTGGAAACAACCTGGAAACACATGGAAAAATCTGGAAACACCTGAAAAAAACCTGGAAACACCTGGAAAATACCTGGAAACACCTGAAAAATACCTGGAAACACCTGAAAAATACCTGGAAACACCTGGAAAATACATAGAAAAAACCTGGAAAAAACCTGAAAAAACCTGGAAACACCCGAGAAATACCTGGATTTAAATTAAACGCTAAATATGTAATTAACCAACTAAACATTTAGTTATGAAACTAAAGATTTTCATCTTTAGTTCACCCTGCATATTTAGTTTGAAGTAAATGTGTAACTAAATCATTTTCTAGCTCCAAACTAAATATTTAATTAGCAAACTAAATGTTTAGTTTCAATGTAATTTAGCTAACAAGCTAAGTAGTTAGCTTGAAGCTAAATGTTCATCAAAGTGAAAATGTTTGTAACCAACTAAAGGCTCCAAACTAAACATTTAGTTCAGAGCAGATGTTTCATTTTTTATGGTTTTTAGTGTTTTATTTCTCTGATGGCAGACAGGAAGTGTCTGTCCGCCAAAATAAAAGCTGCCAGCAGTCTCTGTGGAATCTTTTCACTTCCCTCTACTGACCAGAACCAGAACCGAACCTGGGTCGCCATGGCAATACTGACAGTTCCTGTTCGGGTCGGTTCTGTTGGGTCCGGTCTGAGAAAACTTTGGATCTGCAGGGATTGATTAGTGAACTCATCACGTTCTGTGGGCCGGTCCATTCACACAGAACCAGGTCCATTCACACAGAACCAGGTCCATTCACACAGAACCAGGTCCATTCACACAGAACCAGGTCCATTCACACAGAACCAGCCATTTCAGCCTCCTCTGAAGAGCTCATTAATATTCACTCAGTAACTTGTTTGTCCCAGGATCTGGACCGACTCCAGAACCAATCACAGCCGGCTAACCTCTGACTGACCCAGTACACAGAACCGGTCCTATGGGAACTGAAGGAGTTCGATGATCCTTCACCTGTCGGACACATTGACAGAACCGAACCGGACCAAGGAGTCATCAGAATGACTTGGACTAGTCCGTCGGTTGAGAGATCCGAAGATGTTGAGGCAGAACCTGCAGAACCTGCAGTGGTCCCAGGTTCTGCCCGGGTTGCTGGATCAGTTCCTCTGGTTCCTTCAGTAAACGACCCGGTTAGACGATCAGCTGCAGCATCCAGAGGAGAGGCTGCAACCTCAGTGGAACCTGGTGAGGAACCCGCTGGTCTGGGTTGAACAGAACCATCAGAACCGACCTTCTGTTTGGACCAGACGGTTTGCCGCTTCAGGTTCTGGTTGACAGCTGAGCTATTGGACCTTGGCGGTTCTGTTCCCCTTTTATATATTTAGCTCAGAGCTAAGAATTTAGCTTAAACAGTTCTGAATGAATGAATGAATGAATCGCTGGACGTTTTATTGGTTTTTATCTTATGACAGGATAAAAAACCCAAATCAGATTTTACTGTGTAACTTTATAAACGGCTCCAGGGAACTACAGCAGAACCAGAACCAAACCGGTTCTGGATGTCCTGCAGCAGCTTTCAGGTCCAAGTGGACACACACACACACACACACACACACACACAGACACACACACACACACAGACACACACACACACACACACACACACACAGACACACACACAGACACACAGACACACACACACACACACAGACACACAGACACACACACACACACACACAGACACACACACACACACACACACACACACACACACACAGACACACACACACACACACACACACACACACACACACACAGACACAGACACACACACAGACACACAGACACACACACACACACACACAGACACAGACACACACACACACACAGACACACACACACACACACAGACACACAGACACACACACACACACACACAGACACACACACACACACACACACACACACACACACACAGACACACACACACACACACAGACACACACACACACACACACACACACACACACACACACAGACACACACTCACACACACACACACACACACACACACACACACACACACACACACACACACACACACACACACACACACACACACTCACTCTGACCCAGAGGGATTCACTCTGGATTAGTCCTGAGTGATGAGATCAGAGATCAACACCTGTTGGCCTTCACCTGGACTCCTCGTCCTCCCTCTCTTCCTCCTCCTCTTCCTCCCTCTCTTCCTCTTCCTCCTCCTCTTCCTCCCTCTCCTCCTCCTCCTCCTCTTCCTCTTCCTCCTCCTCTTCCTCCCTGTCTTCCTCCTCCTCTTCCTCCTCCTCCTCCTCCTCCTCTTCCTCCTCTTCTAAAGGTTCCTCTGC